CAGCAGGGTATAAAATCAATGCACAAAAATCAATAGCCTTTGTATACACAGGCAATGCCATGGCTGAGGAAGAACTTCTCAGATCAATCCCATTCACAATAACTACAAAAACAATCAAATACCTTGGAATAAACTTAACCAAGGACGTTCAAGGTATCTACAATGAAAATTAAAAAACCTTAAAGAAAGAAATGGAAGAGGATACCAAGAAATTGAAAAATCTTCCATGCTCATGGATTGGAAGAATCAATATCATCAAAATGTCTATTCTCCCAAAAGCAATTTATAGATTCAATGCAATACCAATCAAGATACCAAAGACCTTCTTCTCAGATCTGGAAAAAATGGTGCTGAAATTCATATGGAGACACAGGAGACCTCGAATAGCTAAAGTAATCTTGTACAACAAAAACAAAGCTGGAGGCATCACAATACCTGTTTTCAAAACATACTACAGGGCAGTTGTAATCAAAACAGCATGGTACTGGTACAGAAACAGATGGATAGACCAATGGAACAGAATTGAAACACCAGAAATCAATCCAAACATCTACAGCCAACTCATATTTGATCAAGGATCCAAAACCAATCCCTGGAGTAAGGACAGTCTATTCAATAAATGGTGCTGGGAAAACTAGATTTCCACGTGTAGAATCATGAAGCAAGACCCCTACCTTTCACCTTACACAAAAATTCACTCAACATGGATTAAAGACTTAAATCTGACACCATCAAATTATTAGAGAGCATTGGAAAAACCCTGCAAGATATAGATATCGGCAATGACTTCTTGGAAAACACCCCAGAAGCACAGGCAGTCAAAGCCAAAATCAACTATTGGGATTGCATCCAATTGAGAAGTTTCTGTACTGCAAAAGAAACAGTCAGGAGAGTGAAGAGGCAACCGGCAGAATGGGAAAAAATATTTGCAAACTATGCAACAGATAAAGGGTTGATAACCAGAATCTAAAAAGAGATAAAGAAACTCCACAACAACAAAACAAACAACCCACTTAAGAGATGTGCCAATGACCTCAATAGACATTTTTCAAAAGAAGAAATCCAAATGGCCAACAGGCACATGAAAAAATGTTCAAGGTCACTAGCAATCAGGGAAATGCAAATCAAAACCACAATGAGGTTTCACCTCACCCTGGTTAGAATGGCTCACATTCAGAAATCTACCAACAACAGATGCTGGAGAGGATGTGGGGAAAAAGGGACACTAACCCCCTGTTGGTGGGAATGCAAACTGGTTAAGCCACTATGAAAGTTTGTCTGGAGATTCCTCAGAAACCTGAAGATAACACTACCATTCAACCCAGCCATCCCACTCCTTGGAATTTACCCAAAGGAAATGAAATTGGCAAACAAACAAGCTGTCTGCACCTTGATGTTGATTGCAGCTCAATTCACAATAGCTAAGACCTGGAACCAACCCAAATGCCCAACAACAGTAGACTGGATAAAGAAATTATGGGACATGTACTCTATAGAATACTATACAACAGTCAAAAACAAAGAAACCCAGTCATTTGCAACAAGATGGAGGAATTTGGAAAACACTCACTAGTCCCAGTGATCAATTTCTGTTCACAATTGATCATAATGATAGGACTAAGAACCAAAGGGATCACATAAACAAGAATAGTGTCTGCAAATACTAGCTGATAGAATAAAAAAGGGAGAGAATGATCCAACATGGGAAGTGAGATACACAGCAGACCCATAGAATGGTAGATGTCCTAAACAGCACTCTGGCCTCATAATCAGCCCTTAAGGCATGCGGATCTGGCTGAAAAGCCCATGAGAGTATTTCAGGCATGGAAAGCCAAGACACTCTAGGGGAAAAAAAAAAAAAACCTAAATGAAAGATCTCTGCGAGTGAGATCCCAGTGGAAAGAATGGGTCATCAAAGAAGGAGGTACCTTTCTCTGAAGGGAGGAGAGAACTTCTACTTTGACCATGGCCTTGTCTAAATATGATCAGAGTCGGTGAACTCAGGGGGCTTCCATAGCCTTGGCAGCTCATGACAAGAGCCTAGGGTGATTACTGAGGCCAAAAGCAAGAGTGTCAATTTGTTAAGTCAACAACAGGAGTCACTGTGCACTTACTCCTCATGTAGGATCTTTGTCCTTAGTGTGCTGTCCATTGAGATTTAATGCTATAACGAGTACTGAAACAGTATTTTTCACTTTATGTTTCTGTGTGGGAGCAAACTGTTGAAATCTTTACTTAATGTATGCTAAGCTGATCTTCTGTATATAAAGAGACTTGAAAATGAAAAAAAAAAAAAAAGATAAAGAAGTGGAAAAGCTAGTTGCCTGGTTTGATAAGTTTGCATTGTATACATGCTTGAAATAGTGTACAGTGCCTGGTAAAAATGTATGCATGTTGCATGTTAATAAAATATTTTTAAATATTACAATAATTCATCCATCCTAGTAAATGAATTATAAGAAAATGTCAAAGATATATCACTTATTAACTCTCAATTAAAAATTTAGAGTGATATTACTAAAGATTGGATATGCTATATAAGCTCATATAATGTTGAGAGGAGTGCAAAAGTGTGTAGTTATCATTATATGTTAGGAAAACATCAAAGTCTCAAAAAGAGCACATATGTATCTTTTATTCCAGCAATTCCACTTGAAGAAACCTATCATTTGGATGTGATTAAACAAAGTGTGTGTGTGTGTGTATGTGTATTTGTGTGTGTTATGAGTGAGCTGATACACAATCGATTTTTATGTATGTTGTAAATCCAATTCTATATTCATTCCCTCTCTCTCTTCCTTTTTCTGCTCTACCTTCTCACCCTGATTAAATTTTTGCCATGAACCTGAGATCAAGATCATTGATACTTGTAACTTCATGGGATTCCTGAGAACATATCTGAGTACTGATGGATAATTGTTGACTATATCTGTGTTACCCTTGTTACATTTTGATTTGGCATAGAACTAACAGTAAATCCGTAAGAAAGTAGAGTAGGCCCTCTGGGAAGTTATCATAATCAAAGAATATTGATTCTCTCTGCTTTGCTATCAGCTCTTTACATGTCTCCAAAACATGTGTTGAATTATAAAAAATTGACCATTATAATTCATTTTGAATAGAATAGTTAGATCACACATCCCCAACCATTCCTTTCAATTGTTTTCTAATTTTTCTAGTCTTACCTTTCTGTCATTCCATCTTGACATTGATCACTAAGCATTTCTTTTGAGTGATTTTTAATAAATTGTTGTGGAAGGTTTTGAAATATCATTGATATTTCCATAAGTCTCACCAGTATTATTGTGTTTATTTGTGTGAAATTTAAGTTTATTTTTTCCATTTGACAGTGTCTGAAGAATTAATTTGATTGCTATTATTCACCTTTAAACATTGCTGCACTAGATATAAAATGTGACATGGAAACTTTACTTTTGCTGCAGAAAAATATGAGAGGTATTAAGCTGGGGAAGAATCTAGCCATAAGACTTCTGAATTATTTGGGTAGGGCTATAAGCTCTGCAGTTCATTATCACCGAAATATGAGACCACTTCAAAAGTTCAGGGAAAATGGAATTGAAAAATGTTTATTTTGGTGCAGAAAAAAATTTAAATCCACACTCTGTGTTTTCATGATACTCGTTTCCCATGAACTTTTTAAAGATTACTTATACTAGGTAAGTTTTCTTACCTTGATATGATATCAGGAAATATATCACTAAGATAAGACAAGTGTGTGTTCATATATGATGGAGATTGGTAGGAATACTTAAATGTAGCTTAGTGCTTTTGGATAACCTCTATAATATTGAGACATTTAAATACTAAATATATACAGTTCTCTAAATTTACATTTAGGAACTGGTTACAACCATGTCTACACTGTTGGTGGGGATGTAAATTAGTATAGCCATTATGGAAAACAATATAGAGATTCCTCAAAGAAACTGAAAATAAAACTATTATATGATCCAATAATATCACAACCACACATATCTCCAAAGGAAATTACATCATTATATCAAAGAGGTATCTGCACACATATGCTTATGGCAGCAAAGTATTCACAATAGCCAAGATGCAAAATCTAACTAGATGTTCATTGATGGATAAATGAATAAAGATAATCTCATATATGTATAAATGTGTATATATATATGTATATTACATAGACACACACACATATATATATATATGAAATATTTATATGTGAATTACACAAGTGAATTGAATTTGAAAGTTACGGGTTTATAAGACTGTCACATTTCATATGAATTAGGCAGAGAAACATAGAAGACAAAAATCAATGAGAAGAAAGAAAAATTTTCAATTTTTATTTAACTAAGGTATCAATGTATTTTTACTGTAATGTTACATGTGCATTGGCATTTTCAAGAGCCAAAGTGGAAGCAGATACTTTCCTCAGAAGTAAATGTTCATGATGTTGTGTTTTGCTTTGATAAGATCAAGGATAATGCATTGGAAAATTCCAAGAACAACAGCAGCATTGGTGAACTCAGGGGGCTTCCATAGCCTTGGCAGCTCATGACAAGAGCCTAGGGTGATTACTGAGGCCAAAAGCAAGAGTGTCAATTTGTTAAGTCAACAACAGGAGTCACTGTGCACTTACTCTTCATGTAGGATCTTTGTCCTTAGTGTGCTGTACATTGAGATTTAATGCTATAACTAGTACTCATACAGTATTTTTCACTTTATGTTTCTGTGTGGGAGCAAACTGTTGAAATCTTTACTTAATGTATGCTAAGCTGATCTTCTGTATATAAAGAGAATTGAAAATGAATCTTGATGTGAATGGAAGGGGAGAGGGAGTGGGAAAGGGGAGGGTCGCGGGTGGGAGGGACGTTATTGTAATCCATAAGCTGTACTTTGGAAATTTATATTCATTAAATAAAAGTTAAAAAAAAGAAAAAAAACAACAGTAGAAGTTTAGGATTACAGTAGAGTCAAATACTATTAATCATTTCCATATCTTTTGATAGAGGCTCAAAGAACTGAAACAAAGGGAGTTTGCTCGAAATGTAGCATCTAAGTCCAGGAAAGATGAAAGAAAACAGGAAAAGGCCCTGCAACGCCTGCACAAGCTGGCTGAGCTAAGGAAGGAAACAGCATGGTGAGTGTGCACTAAAATGTACTTTTCTTAAACCCAAAGAGTGAGAAGTTAGAAATAAGGGCACAAATTATTTATTTCTGTATCCAGAATAATCATGGACTTCTGTAGGCTGTAAACAGTAATTTAAATGTGAATTTTATGCAGACACCTGTTTAACGCACATTTCAATAAAAAGCCATTATGACTATAATTTTAGCTTGTAAGAAAATAAATTTCACATTTATGCTGCAATTCAAGCTATCGTAATTGAACTCTATTCCATTTCTTGGTAAAATTTTAAACATTTAACAAAGAAAAAAAGCATGATAATATCTTATAATCTTTTTTTGCAAATAAGTTTTAAGTGGAATTTTATTTTTTGATATCTAAACATTTTTATTAACTTTGTATTTATAAAACAAAAATTGTAAGGTAGTAATACAACAAGTTCCTGTGTATTTGTTATCTAATTTCCCCAAGTAACATCTCATATTAATATATATATCATCGTTAATGGGCCACACTCAGCTTCCCCTATTTTTATTTGGATAACTTTCATTTGATAACAACTTTAAGATTAAAAAAAATGCTAGGAAGGCGTGTGCATTTCATAACACAAGCAAAATTAATTCCTCTGTAAATAAATGATAAACTGGACTATTGAAATTTTACAACTCTCAAATTATGACCTGCTTTCTACAGAGAAGAGCTGTTAACTGTAAGCAATGTAATAAATGAGACCATTTTGGCTGGCGCCGCGGTTCACTTGGCTAATCCTCCACCTGTGGCGCCAGCACCCCGGGTTCTAGTCCCGGTTGGGTGCCTGATTCTGTCCCAGTTGCTCCTCTTCCAGTCCAGCTCTCTGCTGTGGCCCGGGAAGGCAGTGGAGGATGGCCTAAGTGCTTGGGCCCTGCACCCGCATGGGAGACCAGGAGGAAGCACCTGGCTCCTGGCTGTGGATCGACGCAACACGCTGGCCGGGGTGGCCATTTGGAGGGTGAACCAACGGAAAAAGGAAGGCCTTTCTCCTCTCTTTCTCTCTCTCTCACTATCTAACTCTGCCTGTCCATTTATTTCGAACCAGGGTAGTAGTATTTTAAAACTTTAACATTTGTTAATGTATTTTATTTGAAAGGCATACAGACAGACACACAGACTAACAAATATTTCCCTTCTGCCGCTGCACTCCCTAAATACTTGTGATGCCAGAGCTGAGCCAGGCCAAACAGGATCTGGAAACTCAATCTGTGTCTCCCAAGTGGGTGGGAGGGACTCATGTCCTTGAGCTAGCATCTGCTTCCTCCCAGGATGCACATTAGAAACAAACTGGGATCAGACTCCAGGCTTCAAACTCAGGTACTCTGATATGGGATGTAGATGCCCCAAGCAGCAGCTCAAGCACTATGCTAAATGCCTGCAGTTTTTAAAGTGTCCTTTTTTCCCCTCAATAATAAAGACTTTGCTATGTCTAATAAGATCAGATCTATTTTATACTGAATAGCATTACGGGATGCATTGGTACATCAAAATAATATTATGAACCCCAAATGTGGAAAAAGTAAAATGAAATTCAAAATGCATTTTAGTTCCTTTATATGGAATTACTAAAAACAAATTTGGGGGATAGACATCCAGAGTGGTTGGTTAAGACACCACTTGTGTTGCCCACATCCCATATTGAAGTGTCTGGATTCAAGTCATGGTTCTGCTTCCTATTCCAGCAACCTGCTAATGCACACCCTGGGAGGCAGTAGTTGAAGGCTCAAGAACTTTGGTCTCAACTTTGTATTGTAATAAATGAAAATCATACAAGTACAAGTATATACTTTAGAGAATCTTGGAACTGATCTAATGTAATGCTCCATAAGTAATATTTACAAATATAATTTCTAATATATGTTAAGAGAAGTAGAGTTAATAATAAGTTATATACAAAAAGGTAATTTTTCCAACCTAAATTTTATTTTCACTAGAGAGTTTATATTTCAGAACATGCACACACACACACACACACAATGTTCCCATTAATCACATGCTTCTAATGATGTGTGAACTGAAAGTAATAGTGTTTCTTTGGAGTATACAAGGCAATGGCTTAGTGATTAAGTAATAAAGAAAATTTCCCACTAAAATTTTTGGGTCATTTATTACTTATAAAATCTGAATTTTACTATAGAATGGAAAATTCTGCATAGGATGTTTCTGTTAGTGTAAGAATAAGACTCATAGAGATTCTTACAGTTAAGTGTTCGTTAATCAGAATTCACTATAGTATAGAGTAATGCCAAACAAAGGGAATTCACATCTTAAGTAGTCTTTTATCTTGCACTTATTGTATATGTATTTTTTTTTTATTTATTTGACAGGTAGAGTTGTAGACAGTGAGGGAGAGAGACAAAGAGAGAATGGTCTTCCTTCCATTGGTTCACCCCACAAATGGCCACTACGGCTGCGCTGCACTGATCCAAAGCCAGGAGCCAGGTGTTTCTTCCTGGTCTCCCATGTGGGTGCAGGGCCCAAACACTTGGGCCATCCTCCACTGCTTTCCCGGGCCACAGCAGAGAGCTGGACTGGAAGAGGAGCAACCGGGACTAGAACCCGGTGCCCATATGGGATGCTGGCACCACAGGCAGAGGATTAACCAAGTGAGCCACGGTGCCAGCCCCACTTATTGTATATTTTAATGTAATTTATAACCACAGGGAAATTTTAAATATTGAGACTAGCATGTCCAAAATACTTCTTGCTAGTCCTATCTCTTAGCTATATTTGCATTACAGCATGCCACTTAGGCTGTGGGAGATGTTCAATGAATGTCGATCAATATGATTTGTTGAACTGAATTCCCAGCCTTTCAGAAACCATTGGTGAAGCATTGTTTTTTTTTTTTTAACTTCCTTCATATTTTCTAAAATTATCAATGATTCTAGTTATTTGTAAATTAAAAGTAATTTTGCTTTAGAGTATTTTACAACACTTCAAGATATCACTTGAGGCCATGGGAGTAGAAAATCTTGCCCGGGGAAGCACTGAGAGCACAGAAATTTCAAGACCTCTCCAAGTTATCCTAAACAAAATGCAAAACCTAAATCACATTGTGCACCATGGAAGGCAGTTGTACCATATGGAAGTAAATCCTTTACAAAGATTTAAAAATTTGAAAAATATTTAAATATATGTATGTCTGTGAATATTTTTCCAGATGAGTGTCCAATTCAACATATACTTTTTTCTTTATGTAGTGCTCCTGGAAGTGGCCCCATGTTCAAATCAACAACTGTTACTGTGAGAGAAAACTGTAATGAAATTTCTCCAAGTGTTGTTGTGGATTCAGTAAATAACCAGCAAGATTCCAAATACGCTTTCATTCATAGTGAAGAGAATACGAAAGACGTTGTTGCTGCAGACCCAGAAAACACAAATAATTATACAGAAAAAAATAACCAAGTCAGGGATCAGGCCCAGGGAATTCACAGACACAAAATTGGCTTTTCTTTTGCATTTCCAAAGAAAGCATCCTTGAAGCTGGAGTCCTCAGCTGCAGCATTCTCCGAATACAATGATGATGCCTCTGTGGAAAAGGAACTTAGCAGAAAAAGTAGGTTCCTCCCTGGCGCTTGTCACCTTCACCTGTCTTCACCAGCTGATGTGCTTTTGAGTTCTGAGGAGAAAGCTGATGCCTTCCTTCCAATGGAGGCAATGTGTATTGACAAAGAAACTGCTCAAACTCCAGAAATGAGAGAGATCACGAGTGAAAAAGATTCACTCCTATTACCTTCATTTTGCCAACTTCAGCTCCCTTTATCTTCGGATGCAGATAATTGCCAAAAGTTAGTCCCATTAGCAGATCAAATACCATTGGAAGACGTTGTTTTTATGAAAGAAGACAAACCTGTGAATTGTATTAATTCTGAGTCTTTAGGACACAAATCCACAACTCTCGATCTGTCTAATGATTGTATGGCTGTGCAACCTCCCACAGAGGAAAACATTAAGGATAATGATGTATCTACAAATGAGGTTGAAAATAAAAATGGTCCTGAGACACTGACCTCTTCAAATACTAAAGAGGATAACCCAAATGTACATAAAAAAACAGATTTCCAAAAAAGACAATGTGATCCGTTTGTACCTGTACTTAACAAACATGGATCGACCATTCTTCAGTGGCCATCAGAAATGCTGGTCTACACAACTACAGAACCATCAATTTCCTATAGCTGTAACCCTCTCTGTTTTGACTTCAAGTCCACTAGACTAAATAATAATATATATAAAAATAAGATGCCCTTAAATCATCCTGATTCTGAGGAGAAGGGAGAAGATGTCTGTAAGACATCAATTTCAGATTACAAGAACCTTTCTATTGTAGAAGTCACTGATTGTGAAATTAGAGGTAGCAGAAATGAGTGCACCCAAGTCACTCCTCTTTTGGCTGATGATATTCTCTCTACTAGTTGTGAATCTGGAAAAAACGAGAATATGGGTCAGAAATATAAAAATATTTCCTGTAGGGTAAGGAAAACAGGAAAGTATCATTATACTAAAAATCCAATGAAACATGACAATCTAGATAAGAAATGCAATAAAATAAAGTTGAAAGATAATCAACACTGGTTCCATAAAAGCAGAAGAAAGAAAAAGAGAAGAAAATTATGTCAACATCATCACAGAGGGAAAATCAGTGAAACAGGGACTCACCACAAAATGGAAACAGAGAATAGTTGTAGTGATACAACTAGGAAAAATCCACTGGAACCAATTTCAGAAAAACACAATTTAGCTGCAGAGCAATTACTTGATTCACATCAGTTACCTGACAAAAGGCCTGTATCAGCATCCGTATACTTAAATGAAAATGAAGAAATGTCTAAAATATGGAACAGTGAATCCAATGATGATGAATCTATCAGCTCCAGGAAACACTGCAAAAAGAACACAATAGTTCCAAATGGACAATCGAATCCAAAAATAATACATCCTGGGAAACAAAATTTAACATATTCCAGAACTTATTGTTGTTGGAAAGCTAAAAGGTCAAACTATAGACAGGATGAGCAATGTTTGGTTCTTCAAAATGACATGAAAGGCACGAGTCCGAATCAGGCTGTTAAAAGAGGTTACAATTCTGTCACGAATGAATCAGAAAGAGTCTATCGAAAACGTAGGCAACATTCATATTCTTATTCCTCAGATGAAAGTTTAAATCAACAAAGTTGTTTGCCAGAAGAATTTCTGAGGCCCCCAAGTTCTTCAGTTACTTCCTGTAAGCCTAAGAAGAAACGGAGGAGAAAAAGAAGCAAAGTCCACACTGGATTTGAAACTTTGGAAATCAAAGAAAATACAGACTTTCTCATGAAAGAAAATTCTTCACTATGTCACCTGGATGGGGTAGCAAGTGAAGACATGGAAAAAGAAATAAAACCACAAGAAGATGCACATACTGAAAGGAACTCAGAACAAACGAACCAAGTAACTAACCAACTAGCTTTGCACACTAGCAGTGGCCTTCATCCTGAAACCAGTGGTGTTGCTGAGCACTCGGTAATGGAGACCACAACAGGTGGTTTGTCAGATGTTACTAAGGACCCCACTGCATCTATCTATGTCTCTAGTGCCCCAACAAAAGAAGCATTCGACAATACCTTGCTTGGTCACAAAGAAGAAAGTGAGACTGTAAATATTAATGAGAAGCAAATTCCTTTCAAGGTGCCTAATATTGAAAAGAACTTTAGACAGTCGCAGTCTAAGTCATACCTTTGCCGTTATGAACTGGCTGAGGCCCTTCCACAAGGAAAGGGGAATGAGGCATCCCCTGAGTGGCTTCATTATAATTCAGGAATCCTTAACACACAACCACCATTACCATTCAAAGAAGCACATGTCAGCGGTCATACCTTTGTAACAACTGAGCAAATCTGGACTCCGATAGCTTTACCAGAACAAGCACTGTTGATCCCAATAGAAAACCATGACAAATTCAAAAGTCTACCATGTGAGGTCTACCAGCACATTATACAGCCGAACGTGTTGACCAACAAGGTCAAGCTTACCTTTCCTCCAGCTGCCCGCCCACCCCCTGGCGCACCTCTGCAGCCTTTGCCTTTGCAGCAGCCCCTATGTTCTACCTCCGTAACCACGATCCATCACACTGTTTTGCAGCAGCATGCTGCAGCAGCTGCAGCCGCAGCCGCAGCCGCAGCTGCGGGGACCTTCAAAGTGCTTCAGCCACACCAACAGTTTCTTTCCCAAGTCCCAGCTCTCCCCAGAACATCATTACCTCAGATCTCAGTAGGACCAGTAGGACACAGGCTTTGTCCTGGTACTCAGCCGACTTTTGTTGCTCCTCCTCAGATGCCAATCATCCCAGCTTCTGTTCTTCATCCGAGCCATCTGGCCTTCCCACCTCTACCCCATGCTCTCTTCCCTTCACTGCTTTCCCCACACCCTACTGTCATTCCTCTGCAACCCCTCTTCTAGTCATATCCATAAAATAGAAAGAAAACACCCATGTGAAAACTGTTACTATAGCATAAATGTTCATATAAATGGATAATTGGCTGTTCAACTGGTTGAAACAAAATGGCCAATGTATGGCTTCATTGATTTGAAATCATTTACTGTAAGTGTAATGATGCAAATAATTTCTTAAGTTTCTGATATATATATAATATTAAAGTAAAGCACTGAATAGTTTAAAAATCAATACAATATATGCTGTATATTAAAATGATGTCTTAAGAATATGTATAATGTACATAAAATATATTTATAGTACTGTAATTTATGTTGTAAAGTATGCTCTTTGTTTTTTTTTAATCTTTGTGTATTTGCACCAATTTACTGTTTAGACAAAGCTGATGCACTATGTTTTGTACCTTGGTCCTTGAAACTGTAAATTCAGTGAAATATATCTCTTGCAATAAATTTTTGTTAACTATTTAAGTAAATCAAACTTCCGTTTCTAGGTGGTTTTCGCAGTTTTAGGAATGTGTAGTAATGGTAGGTATCTTATATATATTGTTTTTTTTCTGTCCAGTGGCATTTTGGAACCTCTAAGGCACAACAATATCTTTGGAACTCTATCAATATTTAGATAATGTTATCTTTCAGAAAAAGTATAACAAAGTGTAACAAAGGCTCTACTTGCTTTTCTGTTTATTCTAATATTGTTTATATTCAGAGTTTACATATTTCTGATCCTCTTATTAGACAGTAAGCCATGGAAGTTCACATTCACACTCAAGTAATGTTAAGTGTGGAGAGATAATATCTCAAAAATATGCCAAGTATGTAGTGTTTCTGGAGTAACTCTAAATTAGTATTAGTAGACAAAAAATTGCAAACAGTCACTGTAAGTGCTTACAACATTTTTAAATGTTAAAATTTTCTAATTTAAATATATATTTCAACTTTAGAAAATATACAATTATAAGTGTTGATACAATATAAGGCATAAGCTTATTAATCACCATCCATTAAGTGACATGTGTTGAATAGCATAAACACATTCTGTATCTGAATATAAAACCAGGAGTTGCTCAATGACAAGGATAAGTTATGAGATCTGCATCGTTTGGTGACTTGGTCATTGTATGAACATCATGGAGTGCACTTACACAAATCTACATGGTACATGTCAATCATAGCACATCTTCTCTGGATACAATAAAAAGATGGGGCAAATTCATGATGTGATCTGGTGCAAAATGGCATACCGTGAAAAGCATTTTGAGTAAAAAGAGTGCAATTGAAAATGATGATAAAAATATAAGCTAGTGGGCCGGCACTGTGGCAGAGTGGGCTATGCCTCCACTTGTGATGCCGGCATCCTATATGGGCACTGGTTCTAGTCTCAGCTACTCCTCTTCCAGTCCAGCTCTCTGCTATGGCTTGGGAAGGCAATGGAGGATGAGCTGAGTGCTTGGACCTTTGCATCTGTGTGGGAGACCCAGAGAAAGCTCCTGGCTTGGGTCTGGCCCAGCTCCAGCCAGTGTGGCAATTTGGAGAATGAACCAGTGATTGGAAGACCTTTCTCTCTGTCTCTATCTCTCTCTCTGTCTGTAGCTCTACCTCTCAAAGTAAATAAATAGAATATTTGAAAAAGTAGGATAGTAAATACATATTAGTAAAATAGTAGTTGCTATCATTATCCAATATTATGTACTGTACGTAGTTGTATGAGCTATACATCTAAATGACTAACACACCGCAGATTTGCAGTAGAAACACACTCTTAATGTGCTGCACTGTGACAGTAGAATGAGTATGATATCACTAAATCATAGAAATTGGTCAGATTTATTTATATAGAAAGGCAGAGAAACAGACAGGTATAGACATCTCCCATCAAATAGTTTACTTCCCAAATGCCCAGCACAGCTGGGATTCTTCCATACCAAAGCATGAATCCCATGACACCTTATGGTTGTCAGGGACCCAATTACTTGAGGCATCACCTGCTGCCTCCCAGAGTACACATTAGCGGGAAGCTGGAACTGGGAGCTGAGTCAGCTGAGTCAGATTCAGGCATCTCTGGTGGCATCTCCACCACTATGCCAAATACCCACTCCCAGTTCCATTATGTTGTGAGGCCACAGTCTGATGTGAGGGTCATTGTTGAGCAAAACATCGTCATGTAGCACATGACTATACTCTTAATGAGACTCTGGAAATGGAATGGGGAATAAAAAAGTTGCCTTTTAATTTGCAAATCTTTCTAGTAGCCATGTTTGTATTGTATTTGCTTATCATCTAGGAACAATAAGGCACTCTCCTCATCATCCTTCCATATTCCAATTTTATTTTAATGGGTTTTGCCTTACTGTTTTGCAAGTGCATCTATATTTACTGAGCAATATAATTATTCAATAGAAAGCTAAAGAATAACACACTTTTTCCCAAGAAAATTTTGTAATATATATGTGTCCCCGCCCATGCCATTTGTTAAGACAGTGTGTTCATTTATGCCTGCTAGGGCAGATTCACCTTTCTTTGTGCAAATGACAGGACGCTGGCACCCTAGAAATAGATCTGGGTGTAAGAAAGCCCAACTGAGTCTCTTTAGAGTAGATTTAAAGTGATCCTCTACTGAGAAAATATTATTTCCTTTGGCTACCAGAAGACATGGATTACCCTAAAACATTTAGACCACTGGAGAGTGTTGCTATATCAGAATAATCAATGTTGAATTCTATGTTGAGTAATAAAAATAAGGGATAACATCTATATCATTTACTTTCATGATTACTTGCCATAATAATAATGAATTTAAATGTTTGCCTGAAAAATGCTTGTGAAATCTCGAATATAGCATATTATAATTGAAAAATAAGTGGACAAAAATTGCAAGAAAACAATTCTATTTCAAATGCTCTAAGATAGTATGTTCCAAAAATGAGAACTAAAATTGGAACAGATGATTTTTTCCCCAAGCAAATATGTGAAACTATCTTTGAAGATAAAGTACATGGGGATATCAACTGGGAAATGCTGACCCAGTTTGTTTTTCATCTGTCAGAGCAGAATTGTTTCTTCTGCTGTTTAAGAAAAAAATCACACCAAGTGTTTTACTAGAAAATGTAGATTTTCCCTCCTATCTTTTTTTTGACTACCATCTAGATAATTCACTTCTTACCTTTGTTATTATACTGGAATTCATTTTGTTCCTGATCTTCTCCTTTCTTAATTTCATTGCAGACATTATGTAGGTTTGTGTTATCTCCATGTTTTCTTTTTCTGTGACATCATTCCTTTAATTTTTTCAGTTCTGTGACTCTTTTATATTTTATTGTTGTTGTTAAATGATGTGGTTAGACATGCTTAGCTTTTTAATTATAATAATATATTTGATTGCACTACACACACACACACACACACACAATAGAAATCCCTGCAAAGTTTGATGAGGAAAATTCTTAGTTACAATGAATTGAAACTCAGATTGACAGATAAATTGATTCGTTCTCAAGTATATTAATGGCTGTGCAAGAATCTGAAATCTTAGTTAAGTACTATAAAAGCCATTCTGATTATAAACAATTCATCTAGATATTTAATATTATTGCTTTCACAGTCTGGACATTCCTTATTATTATTATTACTATTTATGTATTAGGGTCTAAAAGTGAATGGATAGTGAGATAATTGTTCATATATTCTGATATTACCAACACCACAATCAAAAGGAATCTGGCAAATGGGCTGAAGATCAACAAAAAGCCAAGTGAACTAAAAGATTAATCAGGAAGGAGTTATCAGGACTACATGGCACACTCATTTCGATCACCAGCTGATAGCTTCCCCATAAATTTTATCTGAAAACTGAAATCCCAGTTTTTTTCCAGGAATGAATAATTGTACTTTCTGTATACTATGGTAATTTAAATGAGTAACATTATTGTTTACCCACCATTTCTACTCTACACAGTCATTACTATGGTAATTGTTACTGCAAAGATGAGTGCTTTAGCACATGCTTTCAAATCTGAATGTGGAAATTAAATGTAGCCAACTAACAAAATGGGAAGAAAACTCATCCACAATTTCAACTACCATGCATTTGTCAATATCATGTTTTCTCTAAGCTGTTGAAGATACATATCAGACTGTCCACAAAGCATAAAACTTGTATATCTTCCAAATATTTTAATCTCAACCTCAGACTCATCTTCTGACTCCATAAGCACAACCAAAACCTGTTTTTTGTACCATGTCCCTAAATTCTGTGAAAGCCATTACAATTTGTTACTGAAGCCAGAAACCATGTTATACCAACATCAACAAAATGAATGAACGATTTTCTTAGATATTTCTCAAATGTTTCCACTTTCACAGCATATATTTTCTATACAATTCTAGTTCTAGTAGTTTGTAAGCTGAATTACTAATTTAAGTAAATATTCAATCCTCCCAAACCTCCCATTTCTGCAACCCATCCTGCCCACTGCTGTCAGGGTTATATTTTAATAATATAAACTTATTATCATATGCCTTTACATTAAAACCTGTAATGGGTCCTCTGTTAACCTCACAACAAATACAAACATCTTTGGCATTTCATGGAAAATCCATGGGGAGGTAGATGCTAGCTTGCCTGTTCAGGTTGATAGATTCCAGCAGTCCTCTGGGACAACCATTCTAATATACTCAGCTAACATCTTTGAGGTTTTATGAATACATACTCTTTTCCTACAATGCTTTCCATCCTATGTTTTTCCTCTCTTTGATAACATTGAGACAAAATTCAACTTGAGTGTCAGTTTTGTTCAGGCCTTTGTTCCCAGTGTTCCCCTCTCTCCAGATGAGATGGCTACCTGTCCTCTGTCCTCACATGATGTGCTGTGCAAAAATTTTGTTATAAGGTGCCCTCTGCCTTGAATATATTACCTTGTTTGTCAGATTCACACGATGAAGAGCTCCATGAGTCAATGTAGAATGTGACAGATAATAAGCACTCAAATATTTGTTGAACAAGGGAACAAAATGGGTTTAAAAGTATAATTAAAATATATGCTGAGGGGATTAGAGACTTTAGAATTGTCATTGATTATTTTACATCAAGCTGGTCTTCAATAAAACTAAATGAAGAGATAATCTTCAAAATTTTGGGTTTCAAACTGTTAGGAAGGAAGAATTTCAACTTTAAGAAAATTACGAATCATTTTAAATGGAACTCTAAAAGCAAAAATCTAAGCATGACTTGAATCCTTTGCCCAGCCCCACAAGGAAGCCCCAAAGTCCACTGTATTTCTCTATCTATGTCTATATATCTATTTATCTAGATCTACCATCTATTTATATGTCATGATATCTATCATGTATCATCTGCAATCTAATAGATCATCTATCATTTCCTACCTTTATGTTCATCTTAGTAGTTGTCACAAACAATAAAGTACTGTGCATCAGACAACAAACTAGTGTTTAGAGATAGATAAATAAGTAGAGCAGAGTTGCTATTTAGGTATCTAAGTCTAGTAGGGGAAACATATATGCAAAATTTCATATTTATTAATCTGAAGTTTGCTATTTCATTATTAATAGCCAAAAAAGGAGTTTATACTCACCAATGTATTTTCCTGACTGTCCTTTGTCCTCCTTTTCTCTACACTTTGTCTACTTTACTTTATCTCTACTTATTTGTCTAGCTAATCCACTGTCACTAGTGTGTCTCTCACAAGACAGTGTCGCCCTGTGGAAAACTTTCTAATAAACTGTTTTCTTAGTCTTCAAAGTATTACTTATGAATTAAGAGCCATGGTTTGGGAACCAGTTTTGTTGTGCAATGGATTACATTCTGGCTTGTGATACCAGCATCTGGTATTGGAATGCCAGTTAGAGTCCCAGTTGCTCTGTTTCTGATCCAGATTCCT